ACCAGTCTCCAGCAAACAACCGTGTACCCAACTCGCTCAAGGACGCTAAAGTCCGGCTTCAGACATTGGAAGATATATGCAGGCGTAGTAGCAATCTTGAGCTGCTCAGGCTCCTGGTCATCAAACATGTGAACCAGACCAAAGCCGCTCTGACCCCGAGCAACAAAGTCGCTCTGCACAGCAACGACCTGAAGACAAAGGGATTCAGGGTGGTTGTACCAATCCGCTTCATCCAATATGCCCCAGTGGTTGCAGGGCTTCCCAAGCTCACAGTCCTGTGGAATCGAATGACAGATCATAAAGTTTCTCGCAACCGGGAACTGAGCAGCTTGTTGAACTTTACCAATGAAGGTGCGAGAAAAGGCTCGCCCGATTACAGGTTGCTTCCTGACTGCAGCATATCTTGGGTCGGCCTTGACATATACCTTGCTGAGGCGTGGGGTCTCGTCGTAGATTCCATCGGGAAGAAGGCGACGGGGTGCTCGAGTTTCGTCCCAGTCGTTGATAAGCGCCTCGTCACGGTCGACGAGACGTGCGAGGTTGGAAATGGTGCGGGTAGCCTTTGCAGAATCCATAGTATTGGTGGGATTTCGCTAAGTAAAGTAAACTGAGGGGCTTGTTGTTACCGAGAAAGGCTACTCTTGATGAAAGCAGAGGTCTGTCTCAAGATTGCCAAAGGTTGGTCGTAGGTTTAAGGGGTATAGCAAGTCTTGTAGTCAACGTCATAATTGTTTTGTTGTTGCGAGTTGATGAGGAATGAAGTGCATCTTCGGAGGATTAACTACATACTTATAGAAATAGAGGCTGTGATGTTCTGAAGGAAACAATGAACAGCTGCTGTTGTTCGTGAGCAAGCGATGCAAAGTTCAACTACTTGGTAACTTGTAAACGAGACGGGGTTAACAAGAACTGTGATAATGTTGAGGGGGTAAAGGCGCATGTTCAGTTGAACATACAATTGTACTCACTGTGATCATTACTCATCTTTATTTAGCATGTTTAACTAATTGGCTTAGGATAAACCTTGATAAAACGTGAACAAAGGCAGAATACGGACATTCTTCTACATGCCGTTCCAAACCAGGTTCATTTTCAACATTTGTGATCTAAAAGCCATACCTAGAATAAAAATCTGCAACATTCCAGATCCCTTGGAAGATATTTGAGAATAGAGGAGTTTGGACTTAGAGAATCCGCGTCATCTTAGGCGTGTCATCTGCCGTGGGTGGTTTACACCTCTGTCATGACGTTACTCAACCGACCGGTTTTAGGTCGATAGTAATCCAGAAACAATTCAATACTAAGTATTATGTTCAGCGGTTCTTGACTCTCTTCCAGCGCAAATAGGCACTATGCACCGGGAACGATCCGGATCGCGCCAGCGCCGTGATGTTGGATCGCGGACTGCCTATCATAATTTCTCTTGAGCATATTAGCGTGGCGCACCTAACTTCTCTCCCAAGCCTCCTTAGTGCCCAACTACACCCCCAATCTTTGATACCAGTTAAGCATCGAGGTTCTCGCCTATTTATACTGCTACCAGCAATGCAGGCCAGTTGACCGAGGACTGGCTTATTCGATGGAAGACATAATGAATAGAACAAATATATCTGCATTATTATCTAATTTATATAAATTTGAAACTACCTCTTATTTTATATATAAATAATAATTATAACCTTAATAAGAACTCAAAAGATCAAGTAATTATACTATGGGGTTAACTGCCAGTTAATTAGCAAACAGAGCACAGCCCCAACGACAGCATAGCATAGCCCTGCACATAGCATGGCACAGCCCCACAAATAGCACAGCACAGCCCTGTACTTTTGGTTAGCTAAATACCTTATAATTATTAAGATTTTTATCAGAACTTAATTATCAACTTCAAGAACACAGTATACCAACTTTTCTAAGCACATGTGCCGGGGACAAACGATTCACCATCTCAGTCTACTTGTTATCTGTTTTCAGCCTCAATTACATATGGATACGCTGGCCCCAGATAGGCTTGTCCCATTCGATTCATCTGAAGACCCCGACCTCGAATGGGTAGCATCGCCTGATTTCGCTGGTCCTGGTGTTAGTTCATCATCGACTATAATCACCCGGGCAGCTCCTTAACTAACTCTCTTCCAGGTTGTACTGAATTTTGGACTTACAGCGGCACTCTCATTACTTGTTGCCGCCGGCTCCTCCTTTCATGCCTGCAGCAGATCCTCATCATCTCGCCTGGCCGGTAAACATGGCCCCCTCCAGCAAATGGGTGTCGCTCTGCTTGACCAGAGTGCTGTGACAACCACAGCTATAGCTTTATCATCATTGATATCCTGGGAGATATCTTCCGCATTTACACGAAAGTCTGGTCAACTATACGTATCAATGGGCAGTGTCTCTGCTCTTATGCTCATGATCGGGATCACCTCTCCTAGCGTCAGACACCATGTCGTCGTTGCTTTGATGGCCCTGGAATCATTTGTCATTTCCACCTGTCTTGCCTTGAGTAACGAATCCGTTTCCGATGAGCTAATATGGCTAGAGAGAGGGAATATGCATCCACCCATTGGGACTGATCGCATGATTGAGCCGAAGCCTCTTTCTGAGTATCTAAGTCTTGCCAGCGATGCATTGGGCATACTACTCGTGCTTTTGTTAGGGTTTGGCACCATGGCTTCCTTGGGACGCAAGATATCCAGGACGATCCGTTTTGCTTGCTTCGCGCATGGTCTTGTTCGACTTGTCACAAATCTTTTTGCAATCAAGAAGCTCTTTACAGACTACAGACCCTACTTGCAAGACGATATATCGATTTGGTCATTTGGCCAGATAGTTCCTCTCGTAGGACTCGCGATCCCTATATGGTCTTTTGTTGGTATGTATCCCGATCTAGTCATCAAGTTACTATCCTTATTGCACTTCGCTTTCTCTAAAAGCATAGTTGTATAACAGCAAAAGATGCCATTATTTTCCATTTCTGATGACCAGGTATTCTTATACCATATTCCATTATTGATTGCTAACTACTACCTAGAGTCAAATATTCGTGGTCGTTCAACTGCGGAAGATCAAGACAGCAGTACACAGGAGGATCCATCCACATCAGACACTTTTGATTTGTTCCTTTCTATATCCCCTTTTGTCTACTTCTTTCGCAAAATCCCGCTTGTGGTATTTATATTTAGTTTTATCGCATTATCATTTGGTATCATCATCCTATCACGATGGTTCCAAGGCAACCATTCCCCTGGTAATATACTGCCTGTCTTAATATCGAATATCTCTAAACACTTACTCACAATCTATAGTGAGGCATATGCGTCCAACGGTAGCAAGAGCTTCATACTTACGCAACCTTATCCATTATACGACATGGGGCAACATCTCGCATGCCAGCCACGCTCCATCATCACTTTTAGGTCTCATTCCATGGCGGCTCCAGTGGAATAGAGAGAGCGCTGTTCCTCCGGGCTATCGGCGAATAAGCTGGACATGTGTGAGTCCTTTTTCTTCCTCTCTTTCTTCCACTGTATGCTCATCAGCATGGTAGTCATGTGGCCATAGTCTGGCAGCTAACTTCAGCAACTCTCATCCCCTCGCCTTAGCAGCCTTAGAAAACAAGCTTCATAGTTTGAAGAACTCCAACGCCACAGATGCTTCTCACCAATCATCCACCCCATCTACTTCAAGTATACAAGACACTCACTCAGCAATCTCCATTGCCAGCGGAGAATCCCCAAGTCAGCCCTCTCAAAGAAGGAAGACACAGTCGAATAACAACGGACGAGTCTCATCACGTCAAAATATCAGATCGTTAGATAATTCTGAGAGGGTTGGCGTACCCAAGTTTTTCGAACTCTGTGTTACTGTTGGAAAACACTCTGTTAGACTGGGCGAGATCAACATATCATCCGTTACAACAGATGGCCAGTTATTTAAAAAGATCTGGGATAGCTACCGAGAGATCAAGACATCAACCTTTGGAGCCACCATTAAAGGCTGGTTCTTTAAGCCCAGCGACGTCTTTTTTGTTCATGTCAGTTCTTCTTGAAATTCCTAGCTATATCAACTAACCTTGGCTCTTAGTTTGAGGTCATGGGCAGGCATAGAGTGGGCATCTACAGCAAACCAATGGAGATACCACCTGCCAAAGAGGTAGATGAGGGTCGATATCACTACTTTGAGTGTCCGATGCAGCCGCTGCCTCCAATGCCGGATCACATTTTCTTGCACTACTTGGAAGAGGCAAGACAAAAAACTGGCCGTCAAGATAACCCTGCAGCACACGCAGAAGACATTTTCCTATCTCGCCTACCTAAGAAGCTAGGATCTAGCATCTTCACGAGCAGCTCTGGTCTTGCCTCTGGAATTACGTATGGCTGGGGCGTGCATATAGTCGAACGACCGAGCGGCTGGGCTAAGAGCATGCTTGGTATATCGAGCGCACTGATATGCATTGCTGTGTTTGCTATTACCTGGCTGTGTGCTGATTTCGATAAAGCGATTGGCATAGGCCAATACATAACTGGAGTTCTGGCAATTGTAAATGCAGCAGTTTACTTTGCCTTACAAGATTATACCAGTCCGTTATCACGACGAGAGTAATTATTTATCATTATCTAGATAATAATGTATAGCTAATTAGCAAATTTTATATTTATTATGAAAATAACAGTTATGCAATTTAATAATCATTAATGAGTTATTATCCCTTAAGATTCAATAAGATTAGCTTCCTGGTTCAGCAGTTTTTACACTGCGTGACAGTCCGCACTCGGCAGCTTAGCAGAGTTCTGGCTATACACGTTGCATTGAGTTTTTTATCTGCCATGCAATTCTAAAAGGGTCCAAAACGCTATTTTTGTTTTTCCCTCCCACCCTCCTCACCTTTCTTTTGTTTATACGTTGGTGGTGTTTCTCGGGCGACCATCTCCGAGCTTCCGCCGATGCTTGCAAGCATCAAAACATCTCACCGATAACACAATTCAACACAGCGAGTCACCATGGCATCGCGCAGACACCTCGAAAATCTCCCACATCTTCTACCAAGGCTTGTAAATCGCTCTGTTCGTTCACTATCAGCCATTCCGAAATACCCGAATTCGGTGACGCGAAAGTCATCTACCCAAGTGGTGCCGAAGCCAGATTATGCGCATACGACTCTTGAGCATCCGCTTACGTGTCGAACAACTGCGTATGGCTTGATTGACCAGAATGTAAAAGTTGAAGAGGAGGAAATTCCCGGCTACGAGGCTTCGCGGTTTTATCCAGTCCAAATTGGAGAAGTCTTACAGGGCAGATATCAAGCGGTGACGAAGCTGGGCTATGGGAGCTCATCAACAATATGGCTCGCCAGAGACTTGCGGTAAGTGATGCACGAGGGAAGCAATCTTTCATACCCGGCTAATCGCATGTACAGGGACCGCAAATATGTCGCCCTCAAGATCTATGTACATACCTCCCGGCAGCACCGGGAACTTCCCGTGTATGAAATAATGTCACCAATACTCGCGAAATCCAATCATCCTGGGCGGAACAACATCAGACACCTTTTGGACTCTTTCGAGATCAGTGGTCCGGATGGCCGCCATAAAGTTTTAGTGATGCAACCCGCTCAGATGAGCCTCCGCGATTCCAAGCAAGTCTTTAGACCAGACGGCGGGTTCGATGAAAACTTTGTGAGAGGAGCCATTCAGGAGCTACTCAAGGCCCTCGACTTTATCCATAAGGAAGCACAACTAGTACACACAGGTCAGTCCCCGAATCTTTTTTTCCCCACTTGCAGAGTTGACACTCTTGAAAGATATACACCCAGGAAATCTGCTGCTCGGTCTAGACGATGATTCCCAGCTTGAACCGTTGGTAGATATGGAGCTCAAGTCACCCGTCCACCGGAAAAATGTCGCAGAGGGCCGAACCATATACCCCTCACGTTTGATGCGCCCAAAGCCAGGCCCCATGCTGTTATCAGATTTTGGTGAAGCCAGGACTGGAACTGGACCTTTTGCAGGCGATATCATGCCGATCCAGTATCGCGCGCCCGAGGTTATCATGTGCATTGCCTGGAACCGCCCAGTGGATATCTGGAGCGTTGGTCTAACAGCTTGGGACCTTCTTGGTCCGACCCGATTATTCACAACGAAAGATGAAGACGGAGACATGTACGACGCAGCACACCTCGCAGAGCTTATAGCGACACTTGGCCCACCACCCCAGGAATTTCTGCAACGCAATGTCGAGAGAGCATCTGACTTCTGGGACGACCAAGGTATGTCTGATAAGTTGAACATATATCTACTCCTAGTGATCACTAACGCATTGTAACAGGCAAGTGGCTTGGATTGGCACCTATTCCGAAAAGCCGTTCACTGGAAGAGCTTGAGACACGGCTCAAAGACAGCACGGGCTTCATTGCATTTCTGCGACGTGTTTTGACATGGATGCCTGAAGATAGACCTACTGCGAAGGAATTACTACAAGATCCGTGAGTCAGTGGAGAGGGCAGAAGCACATAGGACGCTGTAGCGTCGTATTCCAAAAGTGATGAGCGCTGGAGTGGTCAATTGAGGCTTGCACCCTATAAAGCACCAAGGGAACAAAGGAAGTATCAATGTACCTATCTATACTCGAATAGAACTGAAATAATCCACTACATCTAGAAAGCTATCACCATGCTTTGCCGGAAATCGACTTCTTCTTTGTAGCTCCTCTAAGCCTGCCAAAGAAATTCCCTCCCATGACCGCCGTCCTCGCCACAGTCTCATCCCTCTCCCTATGCCCCTCACATTTCCTCGGCGCCACCCGCCCCTGGCTCTCCCAATAGAACCTTGACACATCAAACTCATGATGCGTCCCCGGCGCCACACAAATAACCTTCTCCTTGGTAGCCTCCAGCTGCGGCCAACATGTATCACACCAATTACAGCCTGGAAACTCTTCCGACTTATTAGCGTTGGTAACTTGTATAATCTTTCCACAGAGCTTGTTCGAACAGCAGGCTGTTGAATCAATGGTAGGCCACCATTCGCGGAACGACGCCTTTTCGGATGTGATCATGGATGCTTTGCTCTTGAGCTCGAGTTGGGTGCAGATCTCGTTGCAGACGTGTGTCGCAAAGAAGAATTTGAAACCTTCTCTTCCGAGGTTTGTGTCTGCGAGTTTGAAGCGTTCTGGATCGAGAGTGTGAATAGCCGGGTCTGTGAGGACGTGCCCCACGCCTTGAAGATCGCAGACCAGAAAGCTTCCCCAGGATCTTTCGTAGGTGAAGTGTGAAAAGGCCTGTGCTGCCTTATTGAATTCATCGTCTGGGTTATCCTCGTTGACGTAGCTGCAGTTGTTGTTGTACTTGACATAATCGCCCTCGATGAAGGGTTCGAGGGAGATATAGTCGGTACCGGAATTGCCAGATTTACCTTTCAGGCATGATGTGACGATAAAGTCAATTGAATGCTTATCGCCTGTAAGAGCATTGAACTCTAGTGCGAACGCTTTGCAGAGAGCTTGACAGCGCATGTCCTCGGCAAGATGCGCAAGACGCTTTCCACCACGCTTGAACGACTTGACGACGTATGGGTTTGTAGAGTGTGTCGTCTTGGCGCAGTATGCAAGGCGTAGAGCGCCTTGAGCAAAGGGCATGCGACGCTTGTGGACATTGAGTTCCATGACACTCAACTTGATGTTGTCATCGTGAGCCATCATGTCATTCAGTGTACCAGAGCGGTGAACAACAGTATCTGGGCTGAAACCCTCGACAACGAGCTTATCCTCGAACCAGCTCTGGTCAGACCACTTCTTCTCCACATCTTCGAGGATTGCTTCGCTCTGCTTCTCGTTGAACTCATCATCTTCCGCTTCACCGATGGCGTCCAGATGAGACATTTGAGCAGTTTTTGTTCCCTTCTCACCAGTTCGAGAGGAAGACTCTGACATTCTAACGGCGGTGCGTGAAGCAGAGCTTGTAACGCTCTTGACTACCAGGTGCCGAAGGGCGCTGTACGTAGTGCCCAGCTCAGCTTCTTCAAATAGCAGACCACCTTTTGCAGTACCCTTGGAACTTGAACCAAGAACGCTGCTCCTTGGCCCTGAGTTTGCCTTCAATGCCTCCCGGTAGTGGGGGTTTGACTTTAGAAGCTTGCAGTCCGCCGACGCGGCGGCATATTCCTGGAGGAAAACGTACGCCATCTTGTCAGTCGCACTTAAAATCCGAAGAAGAGCGTAGTTGAGGTTCAGACCAATCATCTGCTTCAGAAGAGGTTGGTACTGAAGCTTATGGGGTTCGGTTCCAGGAGTGTAGTAATCATCGCTCTTCTCAGTCCAACTATGGAAGATATTCCCGTGTGGTGGAGCATCAGCGATGTGAATGATGCATCGGGTCTGGTTCTTCCAGGAAGCATTGATTGCTTGTTGGATACCACCTAGGACATCTTCGGGTGCATCACCGCCGCCCCGAGCTTTCAGCTTATCGATGAAACCTCTAACTTTCTCCACATCAGTAGTGAAGTCGATGAACTGAATGTGATTCTTATCACAGTGATCTTTGTAACTGACCACCGCAATCCTCACTTCTGCCTCATTATAGAACGTCTCGGTAATGTCCTGCATGATCTTCTTGACCTGTTCTTTAGCAGCAGCGATGAAGGGACCCATAGACGAAGTAGTATCCATAAGAAACAGCAGGTCCGTAGCACAAGCCGCCTTAAACATTCCCTCATTGGGAGTTCTCTTCATTTGGGCAGCAGCTTGAGCTTCCCGCTTGAGTTCAAGAACACGAAGTCTGGCTTCAGCGGCAGAAAGGCCTGTAAGGCCTGCCTCACGCTTGAGACGATCGTTTATGGCGCGCTCCTGCTGCATTGCGCGGCGGAGTTCATCGCGTTCGATCTCCATCTGGCGGAGACGTTCGCGGGTGCCAGAGGAGGTAGCGTTGGATGTTCCGGAGTCGCCGGGGGTTCGGAGACGTTGGAGAGCGCCGGCGATGGGCGGGACGGATCTGGGTTCATCGCTGCGACTTGGTGCTGCGCGGTCTCTGCTTGGGGGATAAGGAGGGAGGATGGTAGACGCTGAAGATGCACTGGATGCAGTGGAGGTTGCGGAGGAGGTGTCAGTCAGGGCACGAATATCTCGTGTCTCCCCATTACTTCCAGTAGAACCTGGTGGTGAGTATGGAGGAGGGGCGCTCATTTTGGTATGTATTGAGGAATTGGACTACTTGAAGAATATCGCTGCTCTGTATTGGAAGCAAGTATATATATTCAGCCCATCTCGACTTATGTTACTATTTCCATACCGTTACCGAAGTCGATCAACCTACTCCTCATTATCGCAATGCTAGGCTCTTTCGGCATCCTAGTGCGTCTTCTTCGCCCGATAAGGCTTCCTTCGCGCATCGACATATCAAGCGCAGCTCCACCGAAGCCCTCCATATAAACCGGGCGTTTCTCAGGCCTCAATTCCGCGCCATTATTTCCATTCCGCATAATCGGGTCCAATCACAGCCCCCGTTACCTTACCACTTTCAGCACTGATCGACACAGACTTCCCTGTTGGCTCAGATTGACCAATCAGATCCATGCACGAATCCGCCCTGTTCGAGGGTGTAGTCCTGGAAATGCCGTGTCTGCCTGATCTCATGGAGGCAGTGTTGTTTTGGTGGAGTCATGTCGGTCGCCCATACAGTTTGGACCTTGAGAATAGACATTACAGGGATCCACGCCCGATAGCAGTTAATTAATAACATTAGCCTTGGAGCTTGTGAACTGAGGTTCTGAGAATGCCTGGGGCGGGGTTCATCACCAGATACATAGCCAAGTTGCCCGAGTCAATCTACCTCCATCTGTCAGCCCATCATCCGGGGTTGCCTATCTTGGGATCACAAATAGAGCCTTATCGGTTATACGAGGCTGAATATTTGTAAATCATTGTGGTAAATCGTCGGTCTAGACTGTGCCGCATTTTCCTTGCTCATTATCGACCTCATCAGCCTCAACACCATCTTTTTCATTGCACTCTTCGCTTTCATCTGGGACCTGGCCTCAGTACGTTTCATGATTCTTCAATCGTCAACCACGTCTTCTGCTTGAACAACGAGAGTTCATCATGGCGGATACTCGTCGCGCAGAATGGTTCCTCTCCAAAGCCTCACTCCAACCCCCTCCCCGCCTGGGCCGTCTAACCGAACCACCCGCACAAGATTTCCTCCCATTTAGTACTACCAACCGCGATGCAGCCCGCCAGCTCCTCGTACAACAGAGAACCTCAGATCCCAACTACAAGCCTCCAGACCGACAAAAGCGACATCTCTTCCGTTCCAAAGAACAAAAGGCCGAAGCTTGCGATACTTCACAATGGAGCTTCACGAAGCATGAAGTTGCGAAAGCCTTCAATGCGCTACTAGCGCAAGAGGCACTTCCTCCGGCTGGCGTTGCGCAGGCTCTTTTGTTGCATACGACACTGACATCACTGGATGAACTTTGGGGTCACCTGAACGATGCGCACTTAGAGAAGAGGATGAAGAGGAACAGGATGAGCGAGATCTTGAACTTCGATTCAAACGGCATGACTTGGTTGGATACAGTGACGTCCCGTGACAACTTCAACTACGTTCACTTGTTGTGTCAAACACAAGCGAGCCAAGGAGTCTTGAATAGATCGTTTGGCATGGCCCTGTCCCGATCATCTCTCGAATCTATGAAGCTTCTACTGAGCTTCGGAGCAGTGGCCTCTGACTACCAAGATCTCATCAGTCAACATATACGAGCAAGGAATTTGGAGTTAGTGAGGCTTCTACTATCAGCGCCTAACTCTATGGCACCCTCGGATTGGAAGGCATGTCTTGAACAAGATTTCGCAAGGGCAGAAGCAGGAGAAGCATTGTCTCTCTCCTTCATTCTCTTGCTTCTATCTCACCGCCCGGAACTGGTCTCGGAGCCCTTTCTTCTTGGCGCACTAAGACTCCAGAGCTACCAAGCCACAGCTGTGATGCTGGGCTACGCATACTCCAATCAGGTCTTCTTCGCCATTCGTCACCAGGTCTGCGAAATCATTTCTCAATATCAGAATGGTAACCAGAGGCTAGCCTTCTTTACTCTTCTTTCCCATTCTGGTCTTGTTGGAGACAACCTGGTCACTCGAGAAGAACTTGTTAAGGAGGTTCTCGCTCGCCACTTACCACTTGTCAAGCTGCTTGTGTATGCCGGTGTCGCGGCTGATGTACCTCCACACAACGCTTTGAAATGGGCTGTCTCACAACTAGACTTTGACATCCTGGAAATTCTTAGACACGGGACACTGTCGTTGCCTGCATCCCAAGTACTGAGCTACCTGCCCGATAACATCCCAGAGCCTGACATGGTTCATTTCATGAACATGTTTGGCTCTATGGGTCTGGGAGGACAACAGCTTGACTCATGCCTAGTACGTGCTGCCCAGAGGAAGCAACAACACCTTGTCCAAACTCTGCTCCATTACGGTGCATCTGTTGAGGCTGAGGAGG